GGTTGTTATCACGATGTATCCTATCTAACCTGTCTCTTGCTGCCGCTAACATGTTTTCCATTCCTTCCCACAGCGGCCGACGAGTACCTGCAGCAACAGCACCAACAGGGCAGCCAACGCGAAGATGCCAGGGAAGAGACCGTCAGTTGAGTGCCACGTTTCTTAGGGAACCTGACCGTGGTAACCCAAGCAGCCAACTCACACACCCCTTGGCCTAAAATCGCTATGATCAAGTGGTTCCTGATTCAAAGGTGGGCAGGATGGTTCCAAAAACAGGTTTAGGCGCACATCTGTCCCTGGATATGGCATGTCCCGACTCGCCGTACCTTGTACTTTAAACCTTGAACCAGGACCGGGGCGTCGCTGGTGCCGGCCAACGGTTCTGATCAAATCTCGACCTCACCATCGATTGGCTTGGTCTACGCTCATTTTCGATAGCATGGGGCTAGGATCCAAAACCTCTCAGAGGCACTCTCCGATCATACTTACCCCGTCTGCCTAGCTTCTTCGGTTTGGAACAAATGTGATGGTGATGGAATCATGGAGTCGCAGACTCGCAGCCAAAACCTTCGTCTCCAGCTCCTGTACTCCCCGCGAGAAGCTAATCAACGGGACCACTTATTTGATGTTCTGGAATCAGGAGAGTCGAAACCATTGTGATACTTGCTTGTCAAGCTGATCGTCAGCCTTTTACCCTTCCTGACGAAATTAGAAAGGGGCAGCGGGTACCCTTCAGCAGATTGATTGACGACGGCCCAGTGTGCAGCTAGATACTGCGTACTTCGTACCGAGTACTTGTAGGGACTATTGCTGACGGAGAAAGAGAAGGCGGGGGCGAGAGCGCGAGTCTATAGAAGCGTCAAGGAGTTCGTGTCTAATCACACAGTAGTTAGTCAGCTCTAAGCGACGAACGGAAGGTCTTCGTGGCTAATACTTCGTACGCAGTATATCTGTCATCATGAATTCTTCCTTGTCTTCAGCCTGGTTGAGACTGTGTCATCACCCGGCATTTCTCAGCCTCGCTGGAGCGAGACGAAAATAGGCACCTCGTTTTCGCACTGTGCAGATGTCTATCGCGTTCCTGTTGTTTCAAGCGGTTGTGTGCAGATTTTCGCTCTCTCTGGTCAGTGTGATTTGGCCAGGGGCATATCAATATCATATTCCATTAATGCCAGTGATGGATCGGTCACCGGCGCCTGCTGCTTGCCAAGAAGCGTTTGAACTCCAACCTTGAACTGCCTGTCTGGTTTTATGACTCTCCATGTTGAGGACCTCAAGGCCAGTCAAACATCAAATATCTGTTGAGATTGCGTCTAGCCGGCAGCCAAGGTGTAGAGTTGCTTGACAAACGAAAATATTGCTGTTTCGACCCCGAATTCAGTTGTTGGAGACCTGTTCAGCATAAAGGAGATTCCGCTCAGACCGTTGACATCGCCGTCAGCTCCCTGCCAGGATCGCCAAAAAGAGCTGGTGATCCAAATCCTCACATCACTGATCAGCACTGAGAAAAATAACCAGATTGCCACGGGGAGTTCAAGTGGGAAGTCAGGGCTGAACGTGTTTCGCTGTTGTTTTCACTACCAGCTGCTCTTCACCTCAACCTCAACCTACCTCAACTTCCAGGTCGATTAACCTGCTCTCTCTTCAGCAACCATCTTGCCATGTCTCACAAGCAAAAGCAGAAACCGTTCTGGGAGCGGAAGCAACAATCGTAAGCTGGTTCACTGAGAAATCTCATCTCTTCCAAGTGCCGATATCCTTCTCTCCTCTACGTCCACTCCATCTCCCCCGTCCCTTATCCCTTTATTTGCCGTCTCAACCGTGATGGCTGCTCTCAGACTGCCCACTAATTGGAAAAACAGATTCACGAATGTCGATATCGGCACCATGTGAGCAAGTATCCCCTCGGTTGTTCTTCCAACTCACCTCAGTTGCAGGATTCCTTGCGTCGCCTGCAACGTCAAATGTTTCAGAGCACGATACTCTCAAAATCAGCTGACGAAATATCAAGAATCACTTGCAAGAGAGGTGCGAGGTGGCCCCAAAGCCGAGCTTCCCCGTTGCAGGAACTGTACGCCAGAGGCCACTGCAGAGTTGTATTGCACCGGCTGTCGAGTGACTAAGGATCTGAGCTTCTTTTCCAAGCAACAGCGAAAGAAGCCCGATGATGCGGTAAGAGAAGGCAAACTTGTCCCGCGGACTCTCACTACGATACTGATCCGCACATTAGAAATGCTTGAACTGCCAGCAGGAGGTTGAAGATCGTGTACCTTCCCTCGAGGCAGCTTTGGAAGAGGAACGTATCAGAGATGACGAGATTCGTGGCAAGCATCTCTCTGGCTCTGTTATGTCGAGCATTGCTGGCTCCGTCATCAGCTCCCGCTCCCAGTCACAAGTACAATCAGCCAGCGCGAGCGGGATCTACGTAGTCGGCGATCGAGACTCTGCCTGGGGAGGTGACGAGGGTTCTATCCGCCCACCCTCGCCCACTGAGACTGAGCTTTCTAGCTCTCGCAGCACATCCAGCCGCGCCAATTCCGGTTACGCCAGGTCGGTTTCGAAGAACAGCTTCGCAAAATCCCCAGCATATGTCGCACCAGCAAAAGCACGCGTCATGAACCAGCTGGAACGTGAAGAGAGGCAGAGGCAAGAGGTACAGATGGGCAGCAGACATGGTGACTCTGATGATGACGATGGCGAGTGGGAATTGTGAGGGACTCGACTGATAGCACGACACCGCGGTGACGACAAAGGCACTGGCTTATCTTATGATGCATCTTCGCTTGTGGTGCTTGAACAAACAATTACTTGTTTAGATCAAATCAGCTTGTGTTACGAGACAACACGAAGGGGAAAAAAGAAACGTAAAAGCGAACCTTGAGAATCTGTCATCGCATATGTGAGCCAGTGATACACAGAAACTTTCGGTGTATCCACGCACTGTTGCCCATACAAGTCATGTTCGTTGCGATGCACGCTGGTCAAAGGCTGTCCTGGCGTAATTCTTGGCCGGTTCAAGTTCTTGATTCAAAGGGCCACAACTCGGGCTCAAGGTTTATGCTACGGAACAACGGTGCCTTTGGGGCTGGTTATCCCTGGTGTTTAGGGGTGGAGGCTTACAATTCGGGCAGGCAACACAATGAATGTAATAGACGGACTCCAGGCAGAAGCCATTTACGGATACGAAGTCGAGAATGAATGAGCCCCCCAAAGACCAGAGCAGTGGAGGGGTCCCGAAGGAACCTTTGTAGTTGAAGGTCCGGAATGTTGCCCTGAGAAATACTCACCGGTCCAATCCGCTCCAGCAGCACCGTCGCAAGTCAAGGGTCTCGAAGGTCATGCGGCTATGTTGCATAGTTCGCAAGCTATGCAAAGCATTTGTTATTTCCGGATGTCTCTGCATATCGGCAAGTAATTAGGTCGTGGCATGATTTGTCGATATCCCCATGGCGTTAGGGGTTATCATCTGGCGGCTGGTTCGGTCGTTGGGTCTCTAAGAAACAGGGCGCAACGAAGCATAATGGTCGCACGGCATCTCTGCCCGTGGTTCGCATGAAGAGGTCCTAGAGACGGGCGGGAAGTACCAGGTTGATGGCGGATGAAGAAACCATGCTAAGTTGTGGTGTGGTTGAACGTTGACGTCGGATTGGCGATGGATATTGCTGATATGGCAACGGCTGAACGAGCACATGGCACCCTGGGGCGCGGATGCTTTTTGAATGACGTTGCTGAATTGTTAAATCTCTTTTGGCCTGCTTTCTTTGTCCACCATGGTTTGGGGTGACTTGTGTTTCCTGAGTTGCGCCCCTCTGGGCGTCTCGCTCGCTTCATCCAAGATCGGATCGTGGATCAGTATTCAGGGTCAAAACTATATTTATCCTCGTCGACCTGCAAAAAAACCAGATTTGCGCACAGAATGCATTGGATTGTGGCTCGTGGCGAGGTAGACGACCTCGGAAGCAATGACGAGTTGTAAGGGCAGTGAATGTGGGTCAACAGGCAAGAAACAGTGATTGTGGGCAGCAACCAAGATTTTGGGGGTTGGAGTCGATGGGGCGGTTCTGCTGCATGGCTACCGAGGCCGAGGAGGTCGAGCCCTACGAAATAGGCTCAAGGCCCCAGGGACCCCTAGAGCCTGTTCGCGCTTATCTAGATTGAGCAGCCTGACGCCCAAGCCCGCCAATCTCTTTCACCGGTTGTGAGCATGGGGGGTTTGGTCTTGCGCTGGCCATGATGCAACACACCACACACCACTTTGCGCATCACTGACTGTCGCAGCTAAGCGTCGACCCTTCTCTAGCCACATCATCGTCGTGTTCTTTGTGTCTAGGGATGCCGATGCCACGCTCATCCTTGAGGCTTAGGCTCGGCGCGCTTCCTATCAGTTGTTCCTCACTCTGCATTCTCGATTATCTCTCTCTCGTGATAGTAAAGCCGGCTTGCTCAACGCCTTGAAACGCTCTGAACCTATCCGTGCCCTCCTTGCAGAGAAAGAAAGGAGGAAGGAAAAAGAGGAAGAGAATTGACATCCGCGGACGTCCAGGCTCCTCCCACCCCAAAGCAAGGAGTGAAGTTCAAACACAACCTTCCACACCACCGAACCCATCCCCGACACCACACTCGATCTCAGCGCCTTACTTATTTCTCTGCGGGCTCCCTCCCCCCCAACTGGCGGGCATATAACATCCATACCCTCTCACAACTGACGTCCTCCTTCGTCTCCCTTCGTCCTACCTTGACCGGCTCCATTACCGGGATCGCACAGGTTGGATCCTTCATATCCAGCCAGTCGAGCTACCGTACATCGTCATAGGGCTGGTCAGGACGCGAATCTCATATAGTATTATTGGCGCGGGTGCTGCATGCTTCCAAGATCCCCTGGTCCTTTTCTCAATTGATTTGAAATCCATACCACCGACCCGCGTGTTGGGAAGGGGTCATCTGAATGCTTTGAGAAACGGAGAACAAGTCTTGGGACGGGGCTGTGTTTCCCTCACATAATGTCTTCCCACAATGACCGTCTGCCACCGCAGCCCAGCGTTACTAGTTCAGGTGACGATGGGGACACGCGGCGACTTCACCCAACTCTGAGCAATTCAGCGACTGAGGAGGGGCGCTACCGGAGGCTATCAGGGGCATCATCGAGTTCACAACAAACATCACACAACCCAGATCCATCCAGATATCACCAAGCCCGCCAACCTATAAATGACGCCGTCACTTCAGCCTTCAACACCGCCGATGCTACCTCTTATGGTGGTTTCTCTCCCGAGTTGCTTCAACAAATCACGTCGCAGATCACGGCAAATGTTTTGCAACAGTTGAAAACCGCGAATCTATATCCGCCTCCTCATCAACCACCGCCGGTCGGCTCCCAGATGGATACCTCCTCGTCCGCTGCCGGCTCTCCGCCGTTGGATCGAGCCACAGTCTACACTCCCCCCACTCCCCATCGATGTTCCGAAGATGCTGGTGTAAGTCAGGCCTCTCCTCAGTTTCCTCCGCCTTCCAGTCAGTCATCATCCTTCCGGGCCCCATCGCCTGGCGTCGAAAGGAGAGCCGTCTCGCCTCTGAGTCAGACGGGCCATGTATCCGAAAATGAAGCAAATCAGACTCGGCCCAGAGGCCCCGGACGCGTGGCTACCCGTGAAGATGCAACCATATTGGAACGAGTATGGGGTCAACTTTTCACTGAGCAGGGTGAGGCTACTCCTAGGCTGGGTCAGTTCCTACGTGGAATTGCTACCTACCTCATCGAAGATTATGAGCCCAAGCACAGCTTGGTCATCACTCCTACGAAGATGCAACGATATTACGAAGACACAAGGCTTGCCAACGAGTTTTACCCTTGGAACATCATCTTTGACGACAGAACTTCCTCGATATCTCGGATGTTCAGAGAGATTGAGTGCCAGCACCATCTTGTTCAAGAGAAGTTGAATGAGCGGCCAGACACTCCTGGACTCACACCTCAGGGCTTCGAGACCTGGGCGACATTGCTCTTGAAAGCACATCCCGATCAAGAGTATGAGCGACTGGCAAAGACGGCATTGGAAATGCCCATCAGCAATCCTGATGAGAAGAAAGAGCGGTTCCCGAAAGAACTTTCCAGGCGACTCTTCCCCAAGCACGGTGATACTGAGATTGCCTACAAGCTACAGAAGGCTATGTCGACGCATTGCAATGTCAGCTTCGCTTCCCGCCACAGCAGCATGGCGGACTCAACCTCCCGGACGTCGACTTCGACGTCGACCGCGACTGTCGTAGCTGAGGACTCATCCACCAAGACAAACTTGAAACCTCCGACAGACAAGCCAGAGCATAACAGCAACAACGTCCAACCCAGTCCAGTGTTGTCTCAAGCCAGCCTAGAGCGACAACGACAGCCGTACGGAGGGACGCACTCGGATGGTGTGAACGGTGACGTCACAGACGAGGGCGACGAAGGCACTACTGTTTCCCAGCCAATCGAGCGAGAGAGAAAGCCCTATGTTGCTGCGCCGGGCGGCGGGAAGAATTACGATAATATCGACAGACCAGCCGCACTGCCTGAAATCAGACCAGGACCACCTCCTCAGGAACCCAGACTGGGACGTTCGAGCTCTCTCAATGCAGCGAGCAGAGCAACTGATGCATCAAGATCAGGACAGCAACCCATCTCTCTCCATCAAAGACCACCGCCTCCGGCAATGGAAATCCCCGAGTCTCGCCATCACCGCTCCAACACTACCTACCACAAAGACCCTCCCCAATCTGGTCGCAACCGATCGCCCTCCATGAACAAAGAAAGTGGTGCCTCGTCACATACGAGAAGGACGGACCCCGACGTTTCCTATATGTCTTCGTCGCATCATTCTGATCATCACGACGACACGAGACGGTACAGAGAGTACGAGGCCGGGCGCGAACGGCTAGCTAATGACCGCTACGACGCTGCCAGAATGTCCGCATATGACCCTCGCGAACGTGATCGCGACCGAGATGGCCGCCCACGTATGCAGTCTGTTTCGAACGCTGGCCTTGGCTTCGTCGACAGCCCACGAAGTCCGACTCTCCGCACTACGGGGGGGACGTCGCTCTATTCCAGTTCTCTACCCACCGCAGGTGGGGAGGAAGAATATTACCTCAACCGCATGCACACAGGCGGGGCTCCACCTTCTTACAATGGGCACAGCCCGCCTTCCTCCATTAGCACTGGCTTTCAACCTCCTCCACCACCGCCGCCGCCGATGATTAGGGAGTCGTCATCAACGAGCAGAGACTCGGGATATCCGTCATACCCGATTAATCCGGGTTATCCGCCCACAAGCTATCGAGAAGTGCGGTAGGATCGCGACGATTTGTGGAAAATGAACGGGAAAGGGCAAGATATGGAGGAAAGCGGCTAACGCGATGCACAACGAAGAACTGCCAGGGCGTGATGATACTCTGTTTACATTTTCTCCTGTACCATATTTGACGACTGATATGATCGAGGACTTGGTTCCTTCCGCACTCCTTTGAACCTCACGGCGATCTTGGATCTTGGTCAGATTTCAGCTAGCTGGACCGTTGATTCACTTCTTGAGATCCCCGGCCTTTTCCTTCTGAGGGTTGCTTGTGAGAATGTAAACTAGTGGGCACGTGTATCGGTGATGGGTGGGTATATGTATCAGGACACAAGTGCAGCTGCAGAGCACTCGCTCAGAGCTCACCGGAGCAAGCATGCATACATGTCACATGTCTGTGCGTAGGTACGCGTGCGTGCGCCTGGTGTAGGAGTAGCAGGATGTATTATCATCAATAGTCAGACTGCGGCTCCTTGACAAAGGGGCTCGTTTTTCTTCTCGTCCGAATTACTCATTTACTGTGGTTGCCACTGTTATTATTATCTATTACTATTACTACCTGCTTCCCTCGTCCCCGCCTGCTTCTCTCATTACCGTTACCGGGACCCACAAAGTCCCTACTATGTACCACCTATGTACCCAGCTTGTCTTGGGTAGGTATGTAGGTATGTACCTAGATAACAAACAGTCACCACAAGGTCAATCTCAACCTTGATCCGCACGGCGCCTAATCTGCGCCCTGTTGAATATGTCCTCGACTTCGCGAATGAAGGCACGCGCCAGGCTCTTCTTCCTGTCCAGGCCCAACAGTCCGTCGTTATGGGCGACGTGACCGGCGAGCTGGCGGTTATGGTTGTCGTGGTTCGGGAGTTGGGAAGAGTGATACTGCGGCGCCGCTGCGACCTCACCACCGATCTGTTCGGCCACGGGCTGGTAAGTTTTGCGAAAAGGTCGCCCAGAGCTCTGGCCGGTTAGGACGCAGAAAGGATGGGTCGTTGGCAAAGTATGCGGCGATGCATTTACGATTCCTGGGTCGACGAAGGCTCTGCTGGTGGTTGCGGAGGTTTGGTCGGCAGGGATAGAGGTTGGAAGCGTAGACCGATCGGAGAAGGAGACCGGTTGGCATTGGTTGAAGTCCAGACACCAGATCCTCGCCGTCTTGTAGAAATATGGACCTTTTGATCTCTTCCGCGGCGAACTTGTCCATCCTCGTCCGCCGGCGACGTCTCCTCCTCTGGTGGCACATGCCTCGCAGAACCCAGCACAAACTCGACGCCTCTCCCATCTAGCCTTGCCTCGAAGTGCAACCCCACCAGAGCCCGACTTAGGTGTGCAGCAATGTAAAGCCTATCCAAGTCCAATATACCCCATCTGATCAACATGACACGGGAAGTTGTGGGTTTGGAAATCCGAGCACCGTTTCCGGGGTCTCGTCCTGCGGCGGAGATAGAGCCTCAGCAAGCAAATGTCGTTGCTCAGGTCCGTCGTCATTGCTGTGCGGATGGAGCCGGCGGCGCAAAACTTATCAATTAGGTCGTGGCGCGCCGCTTGGGGCAGGGAGGGGATTCGTTCTGCTTGTCGAGTCGAGAAAGGACCACTGCGGCGCTGCTCCTCCGGGGGGATCGTGATGAGCACTGAGCCCACCAATTCGTCGAATGCGCGAGCATCAGAGTGTAGGGGAAGGGGATTTGGACATGCGATTCGTCAATGCCGTCTTCCCCCGAGGACCATCCGTCAAAGGCGGCCGAGACGAGCTTGCGCATGGCATATTCGCCTTCTATACTCTAGCACGAGTCGCTATTCGAGGTGTTCTTGCGTTTGTACGTCACAGGGACAATTGGGTGCGCAAAGACGGCGCCAAAGCTGCCCTGGCCAATTTGGCGAAAGGGCTGTGGTGGTCCACAGTCTGAGATAGAGCATCTTTGACGCACACCTTCGGCATGCGCAGATGACTGCAGGGACGCCATACTGCGTACAGGAATAGTTCAACATCGACGAATGAGATATGAGAAGAGGCAAGACGCGATTGTTTTGTGGCCGAACGTGAGTCTTGCCCTCCATGAAGCTTTTGCGCTCCATGGCTTTGGGTATAAATCCTCTCGGGTCGCAGAATCAACAGGTTCATATTCATTGTCTCCCATCCTTACCTTTTGTTCCAAGATGCTGCTCACAGTGGACGGGATCATCTGTGCCTCTGTCTTCGATCTCAATCCCCACGTAGGCGCTTGTCGGCTTGGTGGAAAATCGAGGTCAGGGAGAAAGAAGCAACTTCTGGACGAGCTTCATAGATAAGGCAGTCTAGAAATACGAACAGAACAAGTAGTGTGGGCATTTCATTGCCTGAGCTGAGGGCGATAAGCCATAATATCGGAAAGACGGATCATGCTGTTGGTCACAAGCACCTGAGAATGCCTGGGCACCTATTACCTGATGGGAAAGTGCTATCTGGGCGTGATCAAAAGGCGACTAGTCGATTGGCAGATCTGAAGGCTCAGGCGAAAGGATATGCACGAAAGATGGCCATCATCCACCACGTCGGGCGGAGATGCTCATTCAGCAATTGCGGTGGCATCAGCGGTGCTGGTGCCATGTTGTGGCGTCCAACCAAGATGCCTCCCGCTGCACGCCGCTTGTTTTCCCTTCCAGGTTCCCGCAGCTCGTTTTCCCTCTCACGCATCAACCATCAGCTGCCCACCCACACACACCCGCACACATCCACTCATCGCCGACGGCCTGGCTTTGTTGAGGCTAAAAGAATGCAATTCCTGGCTCCAGCAGCCTGTGGCTTCCTGCTCCATCATGTCAACTGCCCTGCTTCCTCACTCTGCACGTCTGGGTTCCTCTCCGAGATTCACGTTGTATCACCAACATAGAATCACTGCAGCTCAACTACTGATACATACACACTCCCCGTGACCGAGCACCTTTCTCAATCGAAACGACCAAGAACCACCGCAGTTTCCTACGATGCCCGTCGACCGCTCGTAGCGCCCAATGACGCTCACAGACAATGGTAGGCTACGATCATGCCGAGCAAAAAGAGCTGGAGCCAGACGAGGGCCCTTCGGGTTCCAGCTCGGGTGCCAGCGAGAGTACCACCGAATATGAGAAACAGAAAGATTGGGACGAGGGTCTTGAGGAGACCGACACCATAAGAACCCTACCGGACAACGAGACCAGACACGGCAAAAACAGGTTGCAACCGCAAGGGAGCTGGCAGGCGCACCATCATGGTCTACTGAAACTTCGCTCCGTCGAGGACGACCTCCCGACCAACTGGTGGTTTGCTTCGACCGCCATCCCTCTCATTGCGGCCACATTTGCCCCCATGGCCAATCTAATATCCATCACGGCGTTGGTGGTGCCTTGGAGGAATAGACTCACTCAGAGCAAGGCCGACTTTCCTCTGACCTACCAAGCCACTTCCGTGGGCTACTCTGACCCTCGATGGTGTGTCGACCTCAACATTGCCTCTCTCGTCTGCGGGTTTGTAGGGAACCTTTTCCTTCTCTTCAATTTCACCCGGCGCGTCCGATACATTGTCGCTCTCCCCGCGACCATTATGCTCTTCTACATTGCCTCGGGCATATTGATCGGCCTGACCGTCTCAATGAAGCTTAATGCTCCTCCTGGCCAAGACGCCATCTACTCCCAGGGTTATTGGAACGCCGTCATTGCCGCTTGCCTCTACATGTTCAACTCGATGATTCTGATGGTTAACATGTGCGGCTACTTTCTGGGTCATTACCCTCAACACTTTACCCTGACGGACGAGCAGCGCAATCTGATCCTCCAGACAATGATGTTCTTTGTATGGCTCGGTGGGGGTGGCGGCGTTTACTCCAGAATCGAAGGTTGGACGTACCCAGATGCCGTGTATTTCTGCGACGTCACTATTCTAACAGTCGGTTTTGGCGACTTTTATCCCACCAACGACCTCGCCCGGGGGCTGGTGTTTCCTTATTCGGTAGGCGGGATTATCATCCTGGGTCTGATGGTCAGCTCCATCCATAAGTTTGCCGGAGAGCTCAGTACAATCAATGTGCTCCGTAAACATGTCGAGCACAAAAGGGTCCACACCCTGTCGCGGGTTGTGACGGTGGAGGATAGCGCGGATGAAAACAAGAGGCGGGATGACCTTGAAAAGGAGGTGGCAATTGAAGAACGAAGCGGCCGACGGCCTACAATCTCGTCTCCACTTCCGAACCCGCAGATCCAGCATGACTTGGATGAAGCAGCAGCCCGTCTCCACGGGACGGGCACCTCCGTTCGAGACCCAACACAGGATCACCGAATCGAATTTGAAAACACCAACGCCAGAGAGCTGAAGAAGTCCGAAGACCATGAGCCGCACCCCAATCAATTTCTGAGCTCGCCATTTCACCGGGGTCCTATCCACAACACATTGCGATTGATCACAAGGCCCCTCAGAAGGACCTTGTCGAGATCACAGAAAAAGGCCATTTTGATGAAAGAAGAAAAGGACAGGTTCGATGCCATGCGGGACATTCAGCTCAACGCCAAGAAGTTCAAGAAATGGTACGCTTTATGCCTGTCGGTGGTGGCTTTTGGGATCTTGTGGTGCATTGGGGCGGTGGTGTTTTGGAACGTCGAGCACGACACCCAACACCTGAGCTATTTTGAGGCATTGTACTTCTGCTATATCAGCTTGCTGACCATTGGGTATGGCGATTTAAGTCCTAAGAGCAATGCTGGTAAACCATTTTTTGTGGTTTGGTCGTTGATTGCGGTGCCGACCATGACGATCCTTATTTCCGACATGGGGGACACGGTCATCTCGAGTTTCAAGCAAGGGACGTTCAGACTCGGTGATCTGACCGTCCTCCCGAAGGCGGGTCTTTGGCGCGACATCGTCATGCAGCACCCTTGGCTGTGGAATTGGATGAACAGAAGGGCAGAGAAGAAGCGTCTCAAGGCTGGCTTGCCTTTCGGACCGGCTGACGACCAAGGTCCCCCTGACCTGAGCCTTGAGCAGATTG